TTATTATTATTATTATTATTATTATTATTATTATTATTAATCATTATCATGATTATTGAGGCAGATTCTTACTAAATTGTTAAGTTTTCCAGGGTTCAAACTTTCACTCCTCTTGCCTCAGCCTCCCAGAGTTCTGGGATTATAGTCTTTCACCACCACACCACACCCAACTCAGATCCACAATTTTTTAAAAATTAATTTTATTGGTACACTTTTGATACACATAATGACCGCATACATCGTAGGGAATTTGTAGCTGTGCATAATAAAAAAGCAAGATATATTTTAAAAAGAAGAAGAATCAGGATCCACAATTTAAAAAGAGCACTCTGCTCATCTCTATGTCTTTCACTGGGCAAACTTTGAACGGTGTGATCCATGGGCCTGGAACCAAAATTCCCTCTTTCACATCGTCTTTCTTTTTTCGGTATCAGGGATTGAACTTGGGTCCTTGTGCTTGCAAGGCAAAATATATAGTGTGTTTACTTTTTCTGTTTTGGCCCTGGGGATCAAACTCAGGATCTTGTGCTTGTGGGGCTGGCGTCAGAACAGCTGAACTAAATCCCCAGCCCCAGAATTCCCTCTTTCAAAGAGGCAGTTTTCTGAATTTTAGAAAACATTGTGGAGAGATAAATAAGGATGACATATATTTCATGATTCTTAAGTGAAATTATATCCAAAAGCTAGGTTCAAAGTAGACGAGAGCCTGAAACTGCCACATGTCAGTATCTGATAGGGTAAAGCACTACATATCGGTCACCACTTCTGTGAGGAAGACATGTCTATTAATATGGGAACAGGGAATCTTCCACAGGGATTCTTATGTTGCATGCTTAGGCACAGATGGGACTTTCCTTCCTCCAGAACCCAAACCATTAAGTCAAGATAATTTAGAGACCTTTCTCACCGATAGGCTTTCAGGTGGGTTTGAATCCAGATCTCTGGGAAATAATTCCCTGTTCCTCCCACTCTCTGGGTAATTATGGCTAAAGTTTGTTGCTTATCTAAAGGCTTTAAGGAAGTTTGGAATCCAAGAGGTCTAACATGAAACAGCCTGAAACCTCAGCCTGCAGGACTTATCTAAAAGATAAGCTGTATCTAGAGATACAGGGGAAATCTTTCTCTCTCAATGTTTACCTTGCAAGGGAAAAAGAACCGTGTATGTGTTTCAATCTGAGTGCAGAATTAAAGATTCTGGATGAGGGGTGAGAATGAGTTGAAAATCTCTATGGAAAAATCAGTCGGCAGTAATGATTCTAATTCGCCTAGCGGAACAAAACGAAACCGGAAACAAGGTTTTCTATTATGACGACGATAAAAACAACGAAGCAGGAAAAAGACCTGAAGAAAGCACCGTTTCAAAACGAAAACTCAAGGCTCTCAAATTTTCTACCCAAGTTTCTAAGAATTTTGCAGATTAAAAAAAAAAAAATGCTTTCCCTTGTTTAGACAACGGGGGAATGTCGTAAACTGGGGGCGTCATAAACGGGGGAGAATTCCCGGGATAGGCATCTTCCTGATGCTCACTCTCTCATACTTGAAAAATCCAACACAGTGAAAACAGCAGCAGCAACATCAAAACAAGTCCTCAGGATCAGGAGGTTAATAGGACTTACATTTACTCATTAACAAGCAGATTCTCGATTAAGTAATTTTTAGAGGGCTGCTCTCCCGTGAGTAAATGCATGAATGAATGAGTGGAGTGATTGAGGACCTGGTATAAAGACTATTCATGAAGTACTTACTTCTCGGAGAGTGATTTTTTGGACAGAGTTTTAAAAGCACTCAAGGCTGCAGGTAATGGAAGAGACGAGGGAGCAATTTTACTGAAAATAATAATAATAATAAAAGAACCACTGTGGTAGAAAGGAATGAAAATGTAGAACCAAGCATAGCCATCAAAACTTCTATTTTTAGGAGGAAAAAATTTAAGGACTATAAATATGGCATTGAGGTATTCTAATTTTTTTAACCTTTCTTTTAATAGCTTTTAACTTAGGGGCTCTGCTTAAACACTGCTTTAACTGCTTTAATGCTGCTTTTCCACTTTCTGCATTCTAGAAATAAATTCAAGATTTCCTTTTTAGAAAAATACAACTTTTACTTCATCCATCTGTGACTGGGGCTAGGAATTCTTACTGACTCTATTGCTATAAGAAAATTTTGTAATATTTTCACTAAGTTATCTTCATTTCTTTTTCTACTGGAAAATAAGTAAATAGCCAAGTTGACACCATCCTGCTTTAAAATCATGCACTGCACAGAAATATAGACTTTTATTTCAGTGTTACTTTGAGAAACTACATAGATCATGCCAATGAAGATGGATAAAGGACTTATTTAAGCAAACCTTGTCTCTCTTCCAAATCCTGGTATAATGAAGTGCAAAAGTAGGTAGAGCCTTGTGCCTGATGCAGGGCTTGTCTGGAGTTTTTTGTCTTCACCAGTGAAAGAGAAGGGGCTAATTCTAAAAATTTTCAAATATCAAAAGCTGTCAACATTTTGGGCCAAATCTTTTTCCATAGTTTAAGATTTTTGGAAAATGGGAACTTTCAACATGGGAAATTTTATCTTCCCAAAAATTCTCATTTAAATCTTTTCTTTTCTGTAAAGGGGTATTTTCTGGAACTATTTCAAAAACTTGTTGCATTCCTTTTTGTTGTTTTGTGTTTTCTCTGTAGTGCTGCACTTTCCTTTAAACGGGGAACTTTCTTTCTCCTCTTATTGGCATTCCAACCCAGCAAAGAAATATGCATCCTGAGATAATGCTGCCAGCTCGCTATGAAAACCATATTTCATTCTTTCTTTGCAGAGCAGAAAGGGAAAAGCACAAAGGAGCTGGTATAATTGAATGTAAAGGATTGCAGCAAACCTCCCCTTTGAGTCCCCTCGCTGGCATTCCCTTCCTTTATTTCCCCCTCTACTCCTTTTGTTTACCACTTTTAAAAGGCTCTTGCTGAGCCTTAGCTGCTTGCCCAAATTTGGACTGAATCTAAATTTCTGGAAGTGGCACTCCCATTGCTACAGGATGGAAGGTGTCTAGAAATGCTGGCCTGAACAGGCAGTGGATAGGAAGCACGGCTGCCTAGGTAGGAGAAATATCTTCAGTGTTCAGATCAGAGTGGGAATTTCATGGACCTGCTGCAGGGTGTGAAATGGGAAAATGTGGCAATACTCCCTCTTATTCCAAACTGGTATGCCATGGGTTGGTATCCTGGTCATCCCCAGTGACATCTGCTGTAGACAGAGCAAAATGAAATCCACTTAAAATTTCAGGGCAGTCCCTCTGGTTAAACATTATGAATGTTTTCTTTTCACTTATTTTAATCTCCTTTGCCACCTCTTTTTGGTTTTCTTCTTAGAAATAACTGTGGATCTCCAAGAAATGACAGTCTGACCAAAGAGACATATTGGAACCTGTAGGGAGAGGGTCACCGGAAAACAGAGCGCTAACACAGCCCAGTTCTTTCACCCCATGAGTGACTGTGGGGAAGAAAGCACTCTGGTTTAGCAAAGGACTGCTTGGGGATAGTTGGAACCGCACCCTTTGGAATCTCTGCCTCTTCCCCCAGCCTAGGAGTTTTCTGGCATAGGAAACCATCTGAAAGGGAAGCATTTCACCTCCCGCTCTCCAAACAAGAGTTCAAAAGCATGCTTTTTTGTATTCATTTCCTCAGCATCGGCAGTTTCAGCACATTAAATGCTGACAATGAATCTAGCACCTGGCAAATCTGACTTGAGATTCAAATGGATTTTTATTCGGAAACATAGATGTTACTTGGAAATAATCACCAAAGATGGCAGCTATGTGTTTAACAAATGGCTATGGTGGAGACTGCTGAGCAGAGAAGGAATGTTTAGTCCAGCAGGCTTTTTCCCTTTAGGTTTATCTCAACTCCACCTCCCTGGTTTATCACTCTATCCTTCAATCTTTTTCCTCTTGAGATCAAAGTGTCCAGCTGTCTCTGTAGTTCGTTGAGCTTTCTTGCACCGTTGGCCAATTATTCCATATGTTTACTACAAAATTATTTTCCTCAAATCCCAGCTTCCTCTTGATGTCCTAATATTACAATGCATTTCCTGGTGTCTGCACTACTTGCAGTGGAATGACAACACACGCACTTTGAAAATGACTTTTCTGTGCTGTACAGTGCAACCTCTTTTACCACTCACCTTGCCTCCTGCTAATTAGCCTTCAAACTCGGCTTGGAGGCTCACTGACATGAGGCCTGCAAGTGACCCTCTGTCCACCCTTCAAGTGGAAGCAGCAAAGCAAAGTTATCTGTGAACCCAAATCTATCAGGGCTGATGGATTCCTGAGGAAAATGATTACTTTCCTTAGGCTCCTACTCTGTTTCCTGTCCATATGTTAATCAGGGCTGGGAAGTTCTAACAACGCCACCTTTTATTCTCAAGGCGTGCTTCACCTGCAATGCATTTTCACACACAAATCTCTCCCCTTTCCTCAGCATCATTCCATTTCACTTGGAAATGAAAAACAAGTCACCTGGGCAGACAAGGGGCCTTCCAAAAGGAGCAGGAAGAAGGCTAGAAAGGAAAACCGGTCCTAGAGAAAATACTCTATCCCAGGGCAGTCCTATGATTCTAAAAATCTTGTCAACAGGGTCAAATTGAAGTAGCTAAAGTGGTGGGTGTTGGTTATTAAAAACTGTTAGACTTAGAAAGATGAGTCTAAGACCATTTTGGTAGAAGGTGAGGCAAGCAGGATGCAGATATTTAACCTCAGTTTGAGAATTTTTACGTCATTGAATCTATAATACAAGGAATTCTCTGAACTACCTTTAGTTGCAAAGTTCCTTGAAATTTAAGTTTCATGCGTTTTTACTTGGGGGACATTATGGCTTGTGTCTAGATGTCTTCCCAAAGCCTCATGTGGTCTTGGTGGGGCTTTCTGGAGGTGTCTGGATCTAGAGTGTATGATGCTGGGATTAAGTGTACAATGCTGGGATTAATGGTGCACCCCCCCCCAGTGCTACCTGCCCTAAGGGCTATTAGCCCAAATGGAAGATAAAGGAAAGTAAGAAGGATTTTGCTGCTGCTTGCTGCTTGTCTGCTGCCGCCTCCTGCCTGCTCTACAATGCTCCTCTGCCATGCTACTCTGCCCTAGAGTCAGCAGATTATGGAATGAAAGCTCTACAAACTGTCAGCCAAAATAAACCTTTTCTCCTTTATCTTTGGGTGTCGGGTATTTTGTCTCAGCAATGAGAAAAATAACTAAGACAGAGGCCTGAAGACAGACTTTGATCAAGAAATTAATTCTGGCTTGGGCATGTAGCTCAATAGCAGTGTAGCTCGATAGCAATGTAGCTTACCTAGCATGCATGAGATCCATCCCCAAGACTAAAAGAAAGGAAGGAAGGAAGGGAGGGAAGGAGGGTGGAAGAGAGGGAAAGAGGGAAGGGGGAGAGAGAAAAGGGAAGGGAAGGGAAGGGAGAAAAAAAAATCCTTATTCCTAGTATAACATACCTGTATTCGGACAATAGGTCACGCTGTGGCTTTTGTTTGTTGGCGTACAAGTTTGCTGTACTTACTGCAGTGGTTTGAATTTTTAAATGGAAAATATTTTTTCCTTTTGAAATAACTTGTAATTGTAAGATCAGTTTACAAGTGATCTTATAATTCTTATAGAGCACTGAGAAAGGTACATGAGAACATAGACATGTCTTACTGTTCCTGCAGTAGCTTTAGCTCCAGGGATTTTAATTGTAAAAGTGAAGATTTTTCCATATCTCAGTGATTACTACTGTCAAAGATATACAAATATAGTCCAACAAATTACTCGTGCAAGAACTTCCTTATTCAAAAATACTTTTGTCTTTGTCAATGAAAGTAAATTGAGAATTAATACTCAAAACTTCCCTTTAAAACATCTCACCTTCACAGTTTTGAAGACACTTACATCCTGGGCCTCTCTAATCTTACATCCTGGTATCAAAGAACTGCAAAAAACATTGTACAAGAATCTACAAAAATCTACCTTTATTTAATATAGAAGTTAAACAGAGTAAATGTCACTAAAAGAATTTCTTCCTGAAATACATCTATGTGTCCCCCTCAAAAAACTTCATTCCAGTCTATAAGCTAATTCATGACATATTTATTTATATGATTATATGAGATAATGTGTCTCTCTCACTGTTCCACTTGATTGATTGATTGATTGATTGTTTATTTTGCAACAGGGTCTGGCTGTATATTCCAAGCTGGTCTTACACTTGCTAAGTATCCCAGGCCAACCTCAATTTTACCAAGTGCTGGGATTATAGGTATGTGCCACGACCCAGCTAATTATTTATTTTTAATTATTTTAAAAATATTAATTACCTACTGTGTGTACCTAGCAAGCAGTATTTCTTAAAGTTGTAGAGTTCTATGAGATACTATGTGATTATTCTTCCCAATTTGCAGATGAGAGAACCAAGGCCAAAGGGGATTAATTTGCCGAAGGTCAAACATTGATCAGTCTCAAATGGGGGAACTGGTGTTCTAACCCCTGAGTTCTGATTCCTGAGCCTGAGTGTTTACTGACTATCCATTACCCTTAGTCCTTATATCAATATTCGTGTTTGCTTGTCTGGTGGAAGGAGATAATTCAGCTTGAGCATATTCTCTTCTTTGCTACTCTTTTTTCCTCATGCGAGCACTTTGTTTCTTTTACAGCTGATGGACTCTCCATCCAATAACGGGCACAGAAAGTCCGTCGTGCCACTTGTAATTAGCTTTGGCAGCAAAGAACATACTGAAGACCTGGTTGCCATCTTTCTAAAAAAAAAAAAAAGTCTAGATGGGCTTGGTGCACGCGCCTGTAACACCAGCACCCTGGGAGGCTGAGACAGAAACATCACCAAGTTCAAGCCTACCCTGGGCACCTTAGCAACTGATTGAGACTCCATCTCAAAATAAAATGTTCAGTGTGAAAACTCTGAGTTCAATTCCTAATGCTGAAAAGAAAAGAAAAAAAAGTCTTTGTTAAGTTATCCATTATATATGTGGACTTCTGAGAGGTAACTGCACGAAAAAAAAAATGCCTTTGTGTCATGAGCTCCATCGCTTTTCCGAAATCATATTTTGAGTTGATTACACCACCATCGCTTGCATATTCCCTGCTGTAAATACATGGGCATAGCTTCGAATATTGGCTCCTAAGATACAACACATCTTTAATTCTCTTAATTATTTCCTAAACTTCCTTCTTCCTTTTTGCGTATTTGTTTTAAAGTCCATAATTACTGCCTGGTCTTAACAGGTCTGTTTTTATTGCTTATTGTTCTCATCAAATGCATGGATCCATATTCCATTGCTTATTACTAGAGATGTTATTTTATGGTGCTGCTTAACTGTCTTGGCCTTGCTTGGCCTTTCTATTTTAAGAGATAAGTGAGAAGCAGAACTGGAATAGCAAGTCTCCGTGACCAGCTAATTTGTAGGCTTTCTACACTACTGTGATTTGGGGGGCACAAACCTTGCAGCATGGAAGGCTAAATTGGCTGCAGCCTGGGAAGTGAGTATTAATTGTTAGTGTAACCGACTGAGGTTTAAGAATTCAGATATACTCTCAGATACCCTATACTTTTTAATTGGGGGGGCAGTGGATATTAAGCCCAGGGAGTGTTGAGCTACATCCCCAGCCATTGTATTATTTACTGTGAGACTAGGACTCTCTAAATTGTTCAAGCTGCCCTCCACCCTTTGATCCTCCTGCCTCAGCCTCCCTACTGTAATAGCTGGGATTACAGATGTGCATGCACTACCATGCTTGGTGCCAGCCCTGTGCTGTGTGAAAGCGCCCCAAAACTGGAGAAACACTTTGCAGTTCATTCTTATCACCGCTTATTGTGATTCTGCACTTGAGGCCTGATTCTGAGATCTTCTGAAATCATATTGGGTAGATTTCTCTCCCTTAGAGCAGACTTTGTCAAAGTCTTGGACAGATTCAAAATGTACTGAATTAAGGGTGTTCTTTTTTTGGTACCGGGGATTGAACCACTGAGCTAAATCCCC